GGGTATTCCAGTATGACGCGACTATTTTTAGCGGTTAGTCAAATTATTTTCAATAACTGATTAACACATTTCAGTCCTAAAACTTTTCTCGTTTATTTGTCTATGTTTAGGTATATAAAAAATAATTTTTTCGAAGTGAAGTTATGTACAGTTAGACGGCTGAGATCTTCTACAATGTTAGCCCCTCGAGAAAAGCTACCCAACTAGTCACCATGATTTCTCAAAAATGATTTGACCAATAGGGTTCAGCTTATACATACATGTTTAACAGATGCGTGGATGTTGTCCCTACCACAGGTATACGTAAATATTAGTTTGTTTAAACTTTGCAGCATAGAAAGTCACGAAAAAATGTGCCAAAATAACACATTCAATACTAAAATTTGCACCACTTTGAAAGCTGTTAATATCTATTCAAACCTGAGGTAGGGGCGATAGCCATATTCATATATTTTAACAATCCTTTCGATTTTGTAACTGCGGACCAACTGGAGGGCAGTAAACATGATGACTAGTTGGGTAGCTTTTTTCGAGGGGCTAACATTGTAGAAGATCTCAGCCGTCTAACTGTACATAACTTCACTTCGAAAAAATTATTTTTTATATACCTAAACATAGACAAATAAACGAGAAAAGTTTCAGGACTGAAATGTGTTAATCAGTTATTGAAAAAAATTTTTGACTAACCGCTAAAAATAGTCGCGTCATACTGGAATACCCCCTTAATAATTATTCTATATTGATTTGAAGTTTAAAATTTGATGAAAGCGATTGTGTAAACGGGTTATTAATAATCCGTAACATGAATTATTTGTTGGTTAGAGAATTGTCTAATAATTTTGCTCATAATAACATCATACTTTAATCAACTAATTCATTTTGAAATTGTCAATAGAAAAGTTTGTACTAATATTTTTTGTAAATTTTAAGATCAAATCTATATAATATTTGTATTGTTTTATAATACATTTATTTTATGAAATCAAATAAAAAAATTGTATTATACAGTAATTGAAGATTTAAAGTAAAACAATATAATATTATTTAAAATAATTTCAGAAATATAATGTTTTTCGGCAAAATCTGAATTTATATATTATGCATAAAATTTGAAAAAAAACGTGTTTGAATTATTGAAAAATTTAAAGTACACGTTTCCATTTTAAGAAATTAACTGTTTAAACAATAAAAAATAGAATTGTATAAATATTCAAGAACTGCGGGAAAAAAAATTTTATTTATACAATTTAATCCCTTCAAAGAAGATAGAAGAATTCTCTAAATATTAAACGATGATACTCCATCCATTTTGCAAAAGTTACTAAAAATTCGTTGATTATTTTAGAGTTATGGAAAATTTTCGATTTCATCAACCAATGTTTAACATAATATAAATCAATTTTAATTTTGTACAATAACATTTTGTTCTTTTCAAAATAATGAAGAATACAATGTTTAATCCACTTTTCATTCTGTTTAGTATTCGACTTAGGTTTATTCCACTTAGTATTCTAATTAATATTCAGCGCTTTAATATACTAACACCTCATGAAAGTCACATATGTGTTTATAATAAGTGTCTCTAAATCCTTCGAAAAAATGTTTGCTTTCATATTTTTCATATTGGTTGAAATTTTGTTGTTATAAACAAGTTTGTGAATGATAAACGTTTTCAGCGTTCACGTGCAGTAATTCCGCGTTGATTTTAATAGACTTTCAGAAATCTTATCGTGTCACCAGTTTACCATACGATTACATTACGAAAAATTCAACAACCAACCAGTACGATCGTTATCGGTTCCACAATTTTCTTCCAAATCACAAAATGCTTACTGTACAAAAACTTGATTATAAAATTTTTAAGAAAATCAGTTCGCTACTTTCTATAGATCGAAACGATAATCGTATTTATACTGTTATAGTAATAATTAGAAAATCATTAGAAATAATAATTAAAAGACCCCTATAAGTTCTAACAATAATTTCTTTAAAAATACAGGGGTAACAGTAATTATTAAATATTTGGTAATATTTAGGAAATATTTTAAGATAAAGTTTAACAAATAATTCCAAAATGGTGCTATTAATCATTTCATTAGCATTAAGTTAATGGTTAGAAAATTCTTAACAAAGGTAATTAAAAACCTCTTATAAATTAGCATCAATAATAATTGTTTTGATTTGTCCTAATTGTTTTGACAGACCTCAATGTTTAAAGTATATAATATTATTAACATTATTTGAAACTATAAGAATTACAGTATGATTATCTGCGAGCTACAAAATAGATTAACAAGTACTGAATTGTGTATTAAACAAAAATATTATACTTCATCGTTAGTTAATTAATTAGATTATCCTCAATCTTTGCATTTATAATTACACATTTTATACGTGACCTTTTTGTTACGGTAGATTTTAATATTTAATATATATAACAACATTAAAATGATTTAAAATCATTAGAATTATATAAAATTTGCGAATCATAATACTAATTAATAAATATTTAATTGTAAAATAAACAAGAAATTTATATTTCAACATTAATAAAAATTGTTTTGAACCTTTACACACAATTATACTTATCATTTTAACGCGATTTTTTATTATGATAACAAAACTGTTGAAATAATTACTTTCTTTCGCACGTATATTCTCCGAAGATATCATTACACAGTTTTATACGAATAAATGAACGTTAATTATATTTAAAGTTACAAAGGAAAGTTACGTACACCATGTAACCTTTCGGTCATTACCGTTAAAAGGAAAAAAGATGTATATGTATGTAAAACAGTAAATTATTAACAAAGTAAGGTCATACGTTGTGTATAAGGTTTGTCGTTAAACAGATCGCGGAAATTATTATTTTCAGCAAACAAACCGTTGTGTATGACACAATTTCAATTTATGTTACATTTTTATCACGGTCATTCACGAAAAAATCTTATCGTTATGGTTCAAAATTTACCAACTGTCAAATTTCTTGTTGATATACAGTCTACGACCTTCACTCCACAATACGCACAATGATATTTTTACAAAATGATCGCAAGTTTTTAGTAGTTTTCTTATTATTTGATGGCAATTTTCTTATAATTTCTATTTATTCTTATTGAGTCACTTTTTCGATGCAACGGCCCGACAAAAAAATTATCAATGCTTTGCATGATACGCGATAACACATTTTATCAACACGTTTATTTTCGTTAGTTAGAACTTCATTATTTTTGGAAAATTTTGTTCAGTTTCACATTTCATTTATTATTTAGAACGTTGAAAATTAAATCAACCATACAGTAATTGAAATACTTACTGTTATTAATTAATTAGCGGTGTTTAATGAGGAGTAATTATTGAATAATTAAATAGCGAAATTGTATAACTAACTCTAATCGTGAACATATTTAATTGTTATAACGTGAAATACATTCATTTTTGTTTTTCAAATTAATCACTAGATATTTTGATAACTCGATAGATAATACAGACAGTTTTTCAAGTCGATTCAGGAATTTTAATTTATGCCTTCAACCTGTTTCTCGCAACTTCCCAAACCAATATCTGACTGATAGGGAAAAGTAAGAAAGAAATTCAGAATATTATTTATTAAAAAAGTTGATACATTAGAATTGCGGTATTTCTTGCACAGTACACTTAGGATGAAAGAAAGTATTTTTAAACGCCAATGGCGAAATTATGAGCAAGACAATAGTATTTGTACTCGTTTGAGGCAAACGACTAATTACATAGACAATGAAATAAAAAATAAAGTAGGATTCATTTAAAAAAAAGAACACGATGCTCCTTAACACATACAAGTACATAACATTTACATTAAAGTAACTGGTTCATAAATTGTAACTCATATTCATCGAGTAAAAAACAAGTTCATTGTCTTTTTCAAAAACGTTTGCTATTTACTAATACGTTGCAATTTTTTGATAAAATGCAAATTCAAGCTCCTTTTACTTACAGATTTTACAATGATGTAATTTAGCTACTTTTAATTGTATCAATGTAACGTCATTTTGTAAAAAATGGTATTTATATAATAAAATTGATATCTATTCTTTAACTACGACCCTGTTATTTCTTATTTGGATACTTAGGAACTACAATATAAAGTATATTTTTTATGACCTGCGGCCAATGTAAGAAAGGACGAAATTATCCTATATTTCTCGACCAGTGAAAAGTTTTCACAGGACATGTTTCTACAAGTTTTATGAAAACATTAACGATGAATATCTGTCATCAACAGCTCAATGTGTTTAATATTTATTGATAATACTGTGTTGATAATATGTGTATGTTGATTGTGAATTTGAAATTTTGTAGGTTTGCCAATTTGAAAATTTGAGGATTTAGAAATTTAAAGATTGTGCAATTTGGGAATTTGAAAATTCGCTGTTTTAGGAGTATAGAAAGATGTAATTTGTAGATATGAAAATTGGGAAGTTTGCCAAATTTTGGGATTTGAAGATTAAAGAATTTGAAAATTTCAAAAGTCGACAGACTTATAGATTTAAAAATTAAGAAATTCAATAGATTAAAGGACTTCAAAACTGCGAAGTTTTTAAATTGGAGAATTTGACAAGTGGAGAATTAAAAAATTTAGAATTTGATAAATTTGCGTATTTGAAAATTAGGGAATTTGAAGATTTTAAAATACGAAAATTTGAAAGTCATAATCACTGAAGTGGTCATACTCATTGAAGGGGATAAAGAGTAACACCGAAAATCGAAAAAGTAAATATGCAAATTTAAAAATCTTAATAACGAGAAAAAGAAAGACAATTATGGAAATAAATCTTAAATAATATTAAAGGGGTTAAAAGATAACTCCAAAACGGAAAATTCTAAAAATCCGGAAATCTCAATAACATCGAAGGAGCCAATTCTGGGAGCTTGTAAATGCGAATAACATTAGGGTGGTTAGAGATAACATCGAGAACCGAAAAAAAAAAATAAAAAAAAAATCAAAGTACACTTACTTTCTGAGCCACTTGAACATTCCCATCATGCCCATCACGCACGTGGCGCATCGGCAGACCGCTCGCAGATAAGAGTCGACGAGTTGACAGATGAACACCACGATGCCGACAAACACTGCGATCAAGAGTTTACTGCGCGACGACGCGTACGGATCGAGCCGATCCGCTTCCTTTTCGCGACTGACGGCGACGACGGTCTGACGAACGCTTGTACCGCCGCGACACTTCCTTCTGACACTTCTGACAACACGACTGACCGACCGTTTGCCGTTCGCTTCGAATTCTAACTGTGGAACGATCGCTGCCCGATCCCCACTACCGATATCCTGCTTGAATCCTCTGTATCCTTGCCAATTGTTCCTTTCGAGGGTAAATTAAAGCTGTTATTACCGATTATACTTTAACCAGTTGCCTGCGGAATTTACTTTTAATCTTTTGCTTTTGGAAGATTGTTCAGTTTTACCATTTAAGACAACAGTTTGAAATAAACATTATTTTATTAAATTTATAGCATTATAATGTAAGCCGTTTATTTTGAAAGTGGGACAAGTTCATTTTCTGTTACTGCGAGGTATGTGAAAGTTTCGTTTCAATAAATTTAAAAATATTGGTAAGTATTAATAGATAAAGTTTTTTTATTTTGTGGTGTCAGATAATGTGTGCTTATTATTCAGTATTGTTTAAAGCGCTGGCTAAAAAAAGTTCTATTACACCCAAACGGACTTGTTCACTTTTCAAAATTGATGAATTATTGTAATCGTTAAACAAAGTAGTATGTAATTTTATATAAATATTAATTCATTTGATAAAAGGTAACAGAAAAGCAAAAAAAGTCTTTATATATTACAGTAGAAAATATAACATAATAAAGAACAATTTATTTTTATTCAAAATGTCAATGAAATAACACATTTTTGTTAGTAATTTTCAGTACTTTATATTATATTCTCAATTTTAGTTACGGTTTAACATTTTAAAATATTCATGATAACGGAAGACATATGGTAATAAATCCATCATGTTCTTATATGTATTTGTCTGATGTAATTGATTTAGCTTCTTCATATAAAGAAGGCAATTTTATATTTCCGAAGTTACTTTGGTTCTCCTGGTGATAACTCGAGAATTTGAAATTTTACACGTCGCTGCACCGAAAATTTTATATGACATTTTATATGGTGCACAATAAAAAGAATAGAATTCCTTGGAAATGAGGATTTTATTGGACTGGCGGTATTATTCAGAAAAGTATTTCTATTTTTACTATTACCCACAAACCTTACTTTCAGTTGCATCACAGTTATGATTTTCGTTGAAACCATTTTGACTATTTTTTTAATAAAATAAGCCATAATTCGTAGTTAATTTTCAAATTACAGGGAAATTGTTCAAGGGTTCTGTGCATCGACACAAAACCCAAACACAAAACAAGAACAGTGTCGACTTTCTTATATATTTATTAAGAAGTGCAGTAGACCTTACTTGCACGCTGATAATAGAAATCATTAACGATATCTACCTGATCTACAGTACATTTTCACTCCTATTGAGGTTACCTGTACTATCAATATTATACAATTTATGGTTTGTCACAGTATTGTTAGTGTTATTAAAAACAGCAGTTAAATTGTGCCGTAATAATTTCGCCTAAAAATAATTTCCACCTAAGATGAACTTGAACCATTTTCAAAATAAATGGCTCGCATGGTGTATAAACATATAAAATAGACAATAGTAGCAATTAATAATAGAGAAATAATAACTTGAAAAGAATTCAGTAAGCTTTTCCACTAAAAAGTTTTAAAGCTGCTACCTGAAAGTGCAAAGGGTTAATTCTTTGATTACGGAGCACTTTCCTTCGAATAAACCGATACATACGGTGCGATACTTGCAAGTGTGTCGCTCATCGTTATATTGCTATATTGTGATATTTGTGATTGTAAAATATTAGAACACTTAACAATATTCAATATTTTGCATTTGCTACGTTATATGAAATCATAAATTTTATGTTAGATCAGTTTCACACACTGATTACTACACTGAAGCAGTTGTAAATTATATTTGGTAAAATTTTCATTTTTAACAAATTTTACGGATATCTTATTATATTTATTTTCCATAATTTTAAGCAGTTTATACGTGTAATTTCAATAAGATAAGTGAACAAATTTTTAATAATATAGATGTTATGTTAATAAAACAGTAAATATGTTAAGAAAAATTTACAACAGTATATGTACGTCTTATATACATATATATTGATAGACACGTGAGGGCGAATATACATGAATATGCTTTTAGCAGTCAAAGATTTCTCACAGAATGCGTGCTATAATTCAAGCAATAATGATTATACACGGCAAACGCAGAGCAAATGCTCCTGTTATACAATGTACGGAAGATAGCAAACAAAACGAGAAACGATTAGGTTAAACTTCGTTTTGAGGCATTATTGTTTTTTACATAATCAAATAGTATTCAATAGATATACACGAAATACAAGGATTTTAATTGTCAGAATTTATTATGAGTCTCAGAGTCGGAATCTCCAATAGTTCTGATGATATATAATTTATTTATATGTAAAAAAAACTGCGAATACTATTGGGTAGGATAAATATTCAGTCACTTTAACAATGTTTTACAAATCAAATTAGATATTCACATGATTTTAAAGATCGACGAAGCGAAATTAGGTGAAACGAAATACAAGAAACTGCAAGGGGAAGTAAAAAAGTAAAGGAACATTTAAGGAAAGGGGCATTTATTCTAATGACAGAAATGTGAAACACACCTTATTTTTCTATATAACCTCCCTGGACTTCAATGCACTTTTCTCAACGTTTCATAAGTTTTTTTATTCCGTCGGAAAAAGTTTTTCGATTGCATCTGTGAATAATTAAATCGCTTTGCTTTTTGACTTCCCCTCGTACAATTAGAAAAGTAGACAGCCATTGGATATTGGAGATGGTCAATACTAAACAAGTGACTGTCATATAACTGTAATCAAGAATCATAAAATCTGTACTTATGCTAACAATTGTAAAGGAACACCAGTTACAACTATATACCGTTTATAAAGGAACACATTAGTCGTGAAATCGACAATTGTGAGGTGTTTATTATATTATACTACCTGTTGTAAAGGAACACATTAATGTCAGTAATAAAATTCACACGGACTGTTCCAAAAATTACAAAGGACTTAATGCGGAAGGTTAGATACATAAGAGTGTTAATTACAATGAAGAGTTGGCAGGTATAATTTATTTTGTATTTGAGTTGGGTTATAATCGAACTTCGATAAAACTTTAACTAAATGAAATTTAATGAATGTTATCTAGCGATGGCGTATATACTCAAACAATAAAATACTGGTGACCTTAGAAAGACTAAATGAGAGGTAGAAGGTGTTTTCACGACAATCAATTTGCGTTTCGGCTGTATAAAAATTTTGTCGCCAAAATAATATTCACATAATAGCAATTTTAATGAACGCAATCAGAGCACAATATGTATGTTACTAAATGATAAAATTTACACTAAAGTAAGCTGTAGAGCACTTTAAAACTATAACAAAGCATACAACTTTTAAACTAATCGATCCCGATATTTGAAATTCAATAAACTATGGTTCAATAAACTAAGATGAACTTTAATCAAAGATTACATTTTTATTCGATAAGAATAAATTAATGTCTACCGCATCGAAATAAAGCTTTAAATCGATTTGTATACATGTTGAATGTAACTGGTTAATTCGATGCGTCATACAACGGACCAAATAATAAAACACAAGAATTACCTGCATATAAATCCTAGCACTACGATTCACTCGGTAGATGCATCAGACATAACGAACTATTCATTGCTACAATGTTAAGGCAACTGAAAAATGTTAAAACGTTGTGTCTATTTTGTATTTAGTAATCCTTAACTGTGCAGATCGCAATTAGCCTTAAATTGAACATTCAACTGTACTAAAAATATAAGAAAAATCTGCTTCCATACTTGAACTACGAGAGCGTCATGAATGTAGCTGCTCATTACAGTGCAAGGGATTAAGAATTAATTCTGCTTTAGTTCGGTACTGTGTTGCTTCCTTCACCGCATAAATTACTAACTACATTTTTATTAAATTTCGATGAAATAAAAGTCATTTATGTTTGAAGTGCTGCTTTATTTGATAAAACATAAAAACTAAAAATTGGCGTCGCGGTCATTGATAGATAGACAATCTCTCAAATGAATAATTTGGAATTTGTATATGTGAAGTTAATTGCTAAATTTAGCATTAAAAATTGAACTAAGAAATTTTAGGAACTATGTTTAGTGATTGAACTATATTTCACTAAAATCTGTTAATTTCTTTACCAGTGAGTAATTGTAAGTATGAATTATAATGATTCTCACGAAAAATTAATAAGCCCGGTGATCTTCATTTATGTTCGTTTGTTCCTTTATTAATATTTGTTTTCCAAAAATGTGCAAAAATTCAACTTCGCCGGGATTTTGAAGCCAAGAAGCAATATTTTGTCATGATTTCTTTTGCAAAATATTCTGTGTACAATAATTTAGGTCAGTGAAGAGCTCAATTTTACCCTTTACGCAATCTTACCCTTAAAGTTTCACCAGAACGAAATATGTAAATTTTTATGGAAGAAATATTTTAACGACCCACTTTTCTAAAAAAACGTTCTTTACCAACCTAGATTATTATACAAAGAATATTTTGTAAAGTAAATCATGACGAAATATTGCTTCTTGGTTTCAGAACCCTGGCAAAGTGAAATCGCATTTCGCACATTTTTGGAAATCGAATATCTATTATTCTTGTCTCTTTTGACCAATACATTTCGAGGTAAACAAGAATTGACGGAATTTATCAATTTTCAAGGCTCAAAAATCGTCAAAAATATTACTCGGAGTATTCCGTGATCAGAGTAGACTCTTAAAGTTTAGACTCTAGAATCTAGAGGTTTAGAGCGTTGTATTTTTAATGCAGTTTACACTTTGATGTAACACCTGAAATAAATTAGTAGTTTCGCCAGTGATTTTTTATTACTCCGGAATGAAAGTAGCAAATGGTTACATTCAGAAAAATTGCATACATCGTTATACTCAATTTCGCTATGATGTAGCAAACTTACGTACAAGATCCACCGCAACGCGTAACTGATTTAATGACGGAACTTAGATTTTATTACAAGAAATACTGAATAAGTTCTGTTTAACCCGTTAGCTGCGGAATACGTGCTTAAATATCCCTCACGGGATGTGTGAGTAAAATGAAGCAATGACGAGTGTACACGTCAAACGCAGATTCTTATTTTTATTCGATATAAAACTAACAATTCGTTAATGTCAATTG